CTCACATTATGATCAATTTTGAGTAAAATTTTCTGTGATATCAAGAAAGGATCTGAGGTCCCCACCCCTGCTGGTACAAGCTCTCTGTCACTGAGCTACATTCCAGCTTATAAAGGGTCAAGTCCACCGTATTATCTGCTAAGATAAAACTATCCTGGCACTAGATCTTGAAAAGCCTTTCTCCACTTCAATGTTTTATTCCTCCCCACAAACTGTTTTTGATAAACTCAGTAATCCCAACACTTCACAATGAGAGTGGACAGATCAAGAGAGGAGTTCAAAGCCGGTATGGACTACATGCACACATGAGACTTTCTCAAAAAAAGGTCAACTGTATTCCATGTATTTACTGTATTACATGTATTTACTTCTGGCTCAGACTTTTCTCCCGTTGATCTAAAATACGCCTTTGTTGCACCAAAACCATACTGTCTTTTAAAATATCTTTTAAAAATATTTAATTTTTAAAAATGTTGTGTATGGCCGGGCGGTGGTGGCGCATGCCTTTAATCCCAGCACTTAGGAGGCAGAGACAGGCAGATTTCTGAGTTCGAGGCCAGCCTGGTCTACAGAGTGAGTTCCAGAACAGCCAGGGCTATACAGAGAAACCTTGTCTCGAAAAACAAAACAACAAAAAAATGTTGTGTATGTATGTGTGTCTGTGTGTGTGCACATGAGTAAAGACACCCAAAGAATGCATAAACCTGTGTTCAATTTTCTGGAGCTGAGGTTATGGGTGTTTGGGAGCCATCCTGTGAGGATGCTAGAAAATTAATCTGGGTCCTCTGCAGGAGTCATCTAAGCTCATAACGGTTGAGCCATTCCTTCAACTCGTCTTAAGAACATTTTTATATCACTAGAAATTACACCTAGGGCCTTGTGTATCCCGGGCAAGTATTCTACTACTGAACTTTATTCCCAGCCCTCATATAATGCACTGATTTCTCTATCTCTATGGTTACTTTTAAGGCTTTGAATTTTTTTTTTAATGTGTATGAGACTTTGCTTACATATAAAGCTGTATACCACGTGCATTCCTGGTGCTGAGGAGGCCGAACGAGGGCATTGGTTGCCCTGGAAATGGAGTTAAGAATGGCTGTAAGCCACTATATAGGTACTGGGAAATGAACAGGGTCGTCGAAAGAGCACTCAGTGCTTACAACTGCTGGGCCATCTTTCATACCCTTCTTACTATTTATTTCTAAATCGAGAATTCCAGGTCCTTGTCAGCTGCATCCCAGGCCAGCCTGGGCTACAGAAGATTATCAAAAAGGTGCGGGTGGTGTGTATAGCTCAAGACACATCCTACTGCATAGAAGGCCTGCTCCCCATCTCCCACACAAACAGAGCCCTGGCTCTGCTCTCAGCTGTAATCCTAGTATTTAAAGATGTGTTGGGTGTGGGTGCGTGCATGCAAGGCCAAGGAGCCCAATGTCTTCCTCTGCTAAATGGTGAATTCAAGGCCAATCTGGAAGACATGAAACCCTGTTTTTGGGGGAAAGAAATGAATGTCAAAAGCAGGTATTCTTCCTTGCTCCTGACATCAGCAGAGAAGTACTCAGGATCACTTCCTGTGGAAGTCCTTCATCAGCCTGAGGAAGTTCCTTTCTAGGTCTAACTTGGCAAGTATTGTTGGTTTTCTTTTGTTTACACTAGCTTTTTGAGACAGGCTTTCTCTGTGTAGCTCTTGTCTATCCCGGAACTCAATCTCTGTGTAAACCAGGCTGGCCTCGAACTCACAGAGACCCGCCTGCCTCTGCCTCTGAATGGTTAAAGGTTTTTAATCACAGATGAATGGACGTTCCAGCAGGTTCCAGCAAATGTGTTGCCTGACTCTACTGATACAATCATGTAGCTTTCGTACTTTATTTTACTGGATGATCTGACTGACGTCATAGATTAAAGAGTTCACACTAATAGGACAGGGCCTGTGTGATTCTGCAATCTTACATTTGTTCATGCACACAGCTTACCTCTGACACTAAATGATTAACAGTGAACTTTTTGGAAGATGTGTAATTTTTAAATAGTGATTTTTTTTTTTTAAAGACTGTATAGTAGATCAATGGAAACAACCAAGCACAAGAGTACACTTGAACTCCTTATCGCTTTAGAGCCTGAGGCAGGGGTCTTAACAGTCCCCGATATAGTAAGATGGTAACTCAAAAAGAAAAAAAAGAAAAAGAAAGAAAAAATTAAAAGAGGGGGCCATTAGTAAGAGCCCATGCTGCCCTTGCGGACGACCGAAGTTCAGTTCCCAGCACCCACACTGAGTAGCTCACAACTGCCCACATGCCTATAACTGCAGCTCCCTGGAGTGCAATGCTGCTGCAGCCACACGCATTTACACACACACACTCAAACACAATAAAAGTCAGATTCTTCTTTTTAGAGGAAACTACCACGTTTACATTATAGATGTCAACTTGCCTAACTTCGAAAGGTGATCATTTCCAAAGTCTGTCCAAACTCTAGTCCAAATATTGCTGTGAAGGATTTGGGGGGATGTGATGTAAAACACAAGGACTCGGTGGACACTCAGACCAAATGGACCAAAGCTGCCCATCAGTGTGACTCTCTGGAAGAACACCTGCCTACCGTACACAAAGTTCTGGGGTTGTTTTCCAGCACCATCAAACAGAGAACTATTAGTCTAAAATCACGGTATGGAGACCCACGCCTGTAGTCCCAGCACAGACAAACTACATAGGATTGATGGAACTTGCCTGGGATTCGGTACTTAGGAAGTGGGAGAGAGAGCCAGAAGTTCACACTTGCTTTGGCTACATCATGTGTTTAAGGCCAGCCTGGTTACTCGAGACCCTACCTCAAAGAGGGGAAAAAAAAAAATCGATTTTTTTTGTTTGTTTGTTTAAGGCCAAGCAAGTCATGGTACTATGTGAATCCTTATCAAGCAAAAGGAAAGGAAAAAGAGAAGAAAGGAAAAAGTAAGGCCAATCTGGAATATACACCAAGACTTGTTTTTAAAAATCAAACAAACAAAACACTTCCATTCCTAGCTGGGGGTATAGTTTAGTAGGTAAGTGTGTTTGCCTAGCATAGAAGAAATCCTGGGCTCAAACAGACTATATTCAGCTTGCTGGTGCGTTCATAGGCTCCCAGGACTAGGGGATCAGAAGTTCAAGGTCATCCTTGGCTACACAAGTCTCTCTGAGGCCAGCCAGCGCTAAATAAGAGGGTTTCAAAATAACAAAAACAAGAATGGGTAAAAAGGAGTTAGAATTAGGTAAACCTTTTCAGAGACTGGCAGAGTGGGGAGCACTATTTTGAATTGTTAAATACTGGAATTAAGAAAGGCTTTGGAGCCAGGTGCGGCAGCCCATGAATGCAATCCTCCTGTTTGGGAAGGGAGGCCAAGGCGAGAGGATTATGTGGAGGAAGGGTAACTATCCTCCTGAGGCAACTCTACCACAAACTCCAAGCTCAGCAAGACATGCCCCATATACTGATCGATGAAAAGCTAAGGGACCTAAGAGAAAAAAACCCACTGCTGCTTTGCTGCTTTTTTTTTTTTTTTTAAGACAGGGTTTCTCTGTATAACCGGCCTGGCTGTCCTGGAATTCAGTTTGTAGATCAGGCTGGCCTTAAACTCAGAGCTATCCCTGCCACCCAAGTGCTGGGATAAAAGCTTGCACCACCTGGTTTCATAGTTGTGTTTTTAAGGAACAAAATGCGGCTCACATCTGTAATCCTACCTCTGGGGAGGGAGGCTAGATTGGCCTCCTTTTTGTTGTATTGGTTTTATTTTCTTTGAGGCAGTTTCACTGTGTCAGCCCAGGCTGACCCCAAACCTAACTAACCATCCTGCCTCAGCCTTCAGGGTGCTAAGATGCATTTAAAAAAAAAAAATAGATAAAAGTAACCATACAGTCATAATTAGTGAGAGGTTTATTAAAAACACTAACAACCCGCTGCTTAGCGCCAGCCCTTCCTATAGCGGTTCTCACTCATTTCTGCTAGGACTCACTCCCTGGCACAAAAGCGCTCACTCGGCAGGGAGGCAGGTTCATTGTCTGGTCCCAGCTTCCACCTGGCAGAAACTGGATGTACTGCTGAGAAACCAGCTCGACTCATTAGCATGTCTTTATTCTAGCAAAGGGAGAATGGGATCTTCTCCAATTCTGACACCTCCCTCCCTCACTCCACCGCCATCAAAATCCAAATCAGGTCCTCACGCCAGAGGGAAGGTGGTAGACATGGGTCCCAGGGGGCCTGAGATCAGAAAGTTAAAAAAAAAAAAAAAAAAAGATGCTACAGGATGTGAACCTGGGTCATTCACCAGCAGCTCTCCCAGGCAAGCAGCTCACTCAAGTGAACTACTTTCTCATCTGCTGTCAAAAGAGAGTTTTGCAGGAGAGCTGCAACGTTGATGCTGAGGATGAAGGCATAGACCGTTTCAAGTGACAGTACGACAGAAAACACTTTTACCGTCTCCAGCCATTTTCTTGCCAGAAACTAGGAAAGGGGGCAATCCAAGTGACTCTTGTCAGATTCCTACACATCTCTGTTAACTTAGTTTCCTCCCATGACAGCCTCCGGAAAACCTAAGGACTGCATAAGCAAGTTCGGCCTCTCCCACTCCTCATGCCCGCAGAAGCGCACTTCTAACCGTCCCAGGAGCCTGGATGCGACAGCCTGGGGACCACACTTGGCACAGGTGCCTGTCAGGGATGCCTCTCCAACCCGCAGCCGCTGCAACGCCGCATCCCCGGCGGCGCGCATCCCTGTCGCAGAGCAGATTACCACCGAGGACGCGAGCGGTGACCTCGGTGACCCTGCAGGCACCTGCAGTCCTCCGCGCGGCGTTGCCGGGGCCCGGAATGGGGGGACGCCTCCCGCCCTGCATCCCGGTGACCTCCCCCGCTCCGAGGCCGACCCTGGGCCGACCCTGGGCCGCCCGGGCCACCGCGTCGCTCGCCCGCAGCATCCGACGCGCGGCCTCCCCTCCGCCCAGCCCGTGGCGCGCGCCCGGCCCTCACCGGACTTGGGCGGGTAGCGGTACACGGAATTGGACGGGATGTCCACCTCCTCCACGCCCGCGTGCTGCCGGCTCGTCAGGGCCCCCATGGCCGCTGCGATCGCGGCGTCGCCCGGGCTCCGGCGTCCGAGCCTCAGCGCGCCGGCCGGCCGCACGCCCGGTGCGCGGGTCGGCTGCCCGCCGCGGCCCGCTCGGCTG